AACATCGGGACTGTGCCTTTTTACTTGTCAACCTTGGGGCTTCTCAGCCTCAGCAGCCAGTGGCTGTCTGAGTGAAGAAATGCCTCTAGCTCCAGTGGGCCAGGAACAGGAGGCAGAGCTGGACCCCAAGGTCTGAGGGGCTTTCACCTAGGCCCTAGAGCCTGGCACTTTGAAGCTGGACTTAAAGCTTCCATATTGTGAGAGAATAAACTCTTGTTTGTTAAAGCCATCCCATTTGTGGTATATTCTTGTCAGAGCAGCACTAGGTAACCGGAACACTTGGTTCCACAATCAACACCCATGGAAGTAGTAATCAAGAAATTAGATGTTGTGTTGCACTAGGCAAAAGACCTCTTTCAAGTGCTGAGGAGCAAAGATGTCTCTTTGAAGACTAAGGTGAACCTAATCCAAGCCATGGTATTTTCAGCGTCTCATATGCATGTGAAAGCTGGACAATGAATAATGAAGACCAAAGAAGAGTTGATGTGTTTGAGTTGTGGTGTTGGCAAAGAATAGTGAAAGTACCATGGACTGCAGGAAGAACGAACGGATCTGTCCTGGAAGAAGTGCAGCTGGAACGCTCCTTCGAAGTGAGAATGGCCAGACTTCGTGTGACCTACTTTGGTCATGTTGTCAGAGGGACCATTCCCTGGAGAAGGATGTCATGCTTGGTAAGGTGGAGGGTCAGCGAAAAAGCGGAAGGCCCTCAACAATATGGATTTACACATTGGCTTCCACGATGGTCTCAGGTAAATAGCAAGGATTGTGAGGCTGGTGTGGGACCAGGCAATGTTTGGTTCTGTTGTACACAGGGTTGCTGTAAGTCAGAGCTGAGTTGATGGCACCTAGTAACAGCAACATAGCTACATGTGAACTTCAAAATTATTTTGCCAATTCCAAAAACCAATAACTCACTGAGATTCTGATGATATTAACATTACATTTATAGACTCACTTGAGATAAACTTTTGTGCTATTGTTTTTATATTGTCTTCCAGCCAGGAAACAGGTCACTCATCATCATTTATTAATTTTTCTGTATTTCAAATTATTTTGTAATTTTCTTCATGTAGTTCCTTTACCTTTAAAATTGTTTACTTAGAAAATTTTTCATTTTGGAGATGATTTTTTTTTTATTTTACATCCAATTTATGCTGCCGGGAGGTGGATTCTGCCTTATGGAGACCCTAGGGGGCAGAGGAGGTATTTCAAGAAGAAATGCCTCTAGCTCCAGTGGGCCAGGAGCAGGAGGCAGAGCTGGACCCCAAGGTCTGAGGGGCTTTCACCTAGCCCCTAGAGCCTGGGCACTTTGAAGTTGGACTTAAAGCTTCCATACAGAAGGCAAGCCGACTGCCACATTTTTCTCCGCAAGAGCTGCGGCTGGTTCAAACTGTCGATTTTTCAGTTAGTAGCTAGGAGCCAAATCCTTACTTAACCATTAGGACTCCTTTGCTCTGGTAGTGTAGTGCCTAAGGCACTTGACAGCTAACCACAAGGCTGGTGGTTCAAACCCACCAGCCACTCTTCGGAAGGAAGGTTGGGCAATCCGACTTCCGTAGTGATACTGCCTCGGAAACCCAAGGAGGGGTCGCTATGAGTAGGGTCCGACTCCACAGTACATAACAACAACATCCTTTACATCTTATTTGAGTTCTCATGTT